CCAAAGGAAGCTCCTGGATCACAGTGGCTGCTGTGGGTGATCTCAAAGTTGGGGGTCATGAGGAAGAGGAATCACATTTATTAAGGGAATAGATATAATTGTTGTGCCCATTTAAAATATGAAGAAAGTGAGGTCAGAGACTCCTGTCTCAAGTGTCAGAGCCTAGAGCTTCCCCTTATTCATCTGCTCCCCCAATGCAGGCTCTTTCCCCCCTGCACGGTGGCCCTGAACACCGGGGCCCACTGCATTGTCTCAGTCACCAAATGTTCTCTCTGACCCATAGATCTTCAGGCAGCATAATCCACACTTTGCAGGATCTAATTACTTAAAACAGACCCTCACTCACAGTACAGGCAAAGCAAGCTTGGACAAGAGTGCAAATATCAGCAACAAAATTAAAAATACATCTAAATAATGAAATTAACTTCAAATAAGAAAATAATCAATCCCCGTTCCTAGGGTTGACCTCTTCCTATGAACGTGTGGTTCTGATAAAAACTGTTTATTCTTCTTCTGTTTATTATCACTAGCTGGCTTCTGGGCATATCGAAAATTGGACTATATATTATATATACATTTCTGCAGGAGCTACTGCTCGATTGATTAGGAACAAGGCTAAATTTGCCACTTTCTATAGTGCCTCTCTCTAGGGAGGCTTCTCCTCTTTGCAAGTGTAATTTCCTTTTTCCTGTCTCAACCCCAGAAAGTAAGGATTTGTGTCAATTTTACCGACAAGCTGCTGTAGTCCCTGTGAGGTCAAGTCACTCGCCTGAGAACACGCAGCGGTGGGACTGACAAGTGCTGGCCACGTACTGAAAGGCAGGGGGCCACTATCCTGGCTCTGTTTATGGGGCTCCCCATTTATCTCATTCACCTCACACACGTAGAGGGCCTTTAAAAATGCTCATTATGGAAAAATTCAACCCTATAGAAAAGTAGACAGAATAATGAAACCCTTAGAGGTCCTTTTAATTCAACCCAGAATTGGTTGCGTTTACAGCTGCCAAAGGTTGAGGGCACTGAATGAAAGGGAAACATGAACTTGCCATTTCCTTTTCTTTCTTAAAACAAAAAAGATATTCAGGGCAAATTTTAGAATCATTGACGGTTTCTAGGAAGATTTTCTTTTTTGGAAGAAAAAAGGTACTCTTGTCTCCTTAATTGTTCTTAGTGTTCTTTGTCACCAATCATGAGATTCTTTGTGGAAAGTATTAATATACCATCTCCCCGTGTTCAATATTCCCATTAACAATAAAAAGTCTAATGAAAATAGCTGCATGAAAAGCCCCGAGCACTAATTTCAGAGACAAATAGAAGATGAACCAATAAATGTTTCTTCTGAAATGAATGATGCAAATTAATTGATACCTTAATTAGGCTTGGGTGTGAACAGTATTAGTTAGATTGAATCAGAACTGAAAAGCATCTTAAAGGAAATGCTGAGGTCACACCCGGCGGGCAGAGAAATGCTATGTGTCAGTGCTGTGCACAGTCTCTCTTGCTAGATGAGACATTTTCAAAGAGGAAGCAGAGAACAGTGTGCTTTATGTATCAGTTCCTGCCTACCCTAGTCAGGCCAGTTTGGGGTCTGAAGACTGGTTCTGTCCCTGAGCTAAAGGGAACCCATGGGTGGAGGAAGTTCCTTGTGAGAGGGGCCCTGGTACCCCTGACATCCCACCTCTGTGCTTCACCCATGCTAGGCAGTTCCCAGCCAGTAATGATGTCAACCAGAGAGACTACCTAGAGCTTATATGTGTTCTGGATAATGCTCCAAGCTCTTTACTTAAAATAGCTCATCCAAGCTTTGCAAAACTGTGTGAGGTAGGGACTACTGGTGTTGAGGTGCAATGGAGCAAGTCCATGCCCAAGATCACATAGCTGATAATGGTGGCTTCAGATTCAAACCAGAGCAATATAGCTCCAAGGTCCTTGTTCTTAACCACTGTGCTATATAGGCCATAATGAGTGCTCCCTGATTGTTGAATTCACTGAGCAAAGGGTACCAAGAATACTCGTCCTAGTCCCCAGTTTTTAATCTAAGAACCGGAGTTCACTGCTACTCTATACCAGAACCCGTCAGTCTTCTTTGGGAGGTGGTGGGTGGGGAGTGAAGGGGAAGCTGCAGACATTTCTGCATTCCTGAGAACTGGCTACTGTCTTGTTTCAATCTGGGCAGACAGTCTAAAAACGTCCTTATTGAAGGCCCCCCACCCATGACCACGGCCCCGCCCACCACCCAGTTAGGCCTAAGCCTCTCTGCTAAGCCTACTATTACTGCACTGAGTGTGCCTCTGTGGTTACTGTGAACTGCAGGGGTCATTCACATGGTGCTTTAATGGCCCACTTGCTTCTGAGGCCACTTACTACTGAAGGTAAGGACAGTTTGGAAGGTTTACTTTTATGGGGTTCTAAATGCTTACCAGGGGCCCATACTGAAGATCAACTCTATAGCCCATTCAGTGACAGACAGCATCATGCAGCCCTATAGGCCTCGTCCCACAACTAGAAGATGGGGGTGGTGCCTAGTTCACAAGTGACTGTGAGGGCTGGGAGGAAGCTTCAAAAGTGACTTTCGCTTGAAAGTGGGCCCACAATTGGGGACAGTGACAACGACCAAGGCATTCTGACACTGACTCTGGTCTTCCTCCAAGCTTCATTCTCCTGCCTGGGTGCTAAAGGCAGATGTCACTTTCCCTCCAGACTGAGGGACAAGTACTATGGGTGGGTGGTGCCTGGGGGCCTGGCCTTTGGAAAAGTCTGATCCGAACACGCCACCCCGTTTGCGCCCCACTCAGCGGCAGCTGACGCGGCACAAAGGAAGTGCCTCTAGGTTAGCTCAGAGCCCTCGCTTTCTTTGGCTGAGGTCCAGAACCTGAGATCCAAATGGATCTGGTTTATACTACTTTTGGGGCTGGTGGAATTTGGGCTGGCAAGCAGGCCAAGTGGACATGACTGAGGAGAGCTGCTGCTTCCTGCTGGACCTTGGATCAGGGAAAGTGGGTGAAAATGTGACTGAAACCCAAGCCTCCTCCGGCCTGAGCACCGGGCAGGTGGCCCTGGTAAGCTCTGCGGCTTAGCAGCCTTGCCTGCCAGCTGCAACCTGCACCTGCTGTGCACCTGAGCTGGCTACTGAGGCTGATCCGGTGGGTCAAACCACAGACTAGTGCAAGACAATTGTCTCAAGTGGGTAGTGGGATGAGGACAATGGTGAGGTGGGGGCATCTCTGACATGGAAGTACCCTCATGACTCCAAGGCCCTCTGGACTCTAAAATCATTCCATCTACAACTGCTTTTGAACTTGCCTCAGAATCGCTTTGTAGACCCTCTCACAGAGTCATGGGGGAGGAGAGGGAGAGAATGAAGGGGAGAGGGCCACTGTAGACATGATGTCCAGAGCAATACTCCTTTCTGAGAGTTTCACCCCCTTGTAACCACTGGGGAGTCCCAAACACAGAAAATGGCAATGCTCTAGATTGGGGCAGAATCTGATATCCCCCTCCTGATGGCACGAAGCCCCCAACTTTGTCCCTCTGAGTGTTTATGGTGTTTCCAAGACTTCACCAGACTGGCAAGTACTTGGCCAGAGAAGGATGTTGGGTCACCCTCCGTCTGACTCAGGCACACCCCAAGAAACTGCTGCTAGGGGTGGGGTCTCCTCTGAGGGAGCCCCTTCCAAGAACAGCTCCAGGGCTGCTTCTAAGGACAGGCTGTCCACCTGAGCATCCTATGGAGGCCTAGAGTCACTGTTGCCAGGGTAACTCCTCCCACCCCGCCAGCTGAGCCCTGCCTGCTCCGGTGAGTCAATAGCTAGTTCAGACTGATAGCCCTTCCTCTGCCCAGGGCTCTAGAAGGAAAAGCCCAGACTCCTTCTTTCTGTGAAATTTGGTTTCCCAAAGTACTCTCAGTGTGCTTACTCACTGGATCATCGCGACACCATATTGAGAAGGACATGTGGCTCCCACCTTACTGAGAAAGGTGAGCTGCTAGAGGGGCTCCAAGCCACTTCAAGAGGTCATCACTGAGGTGGGGGTAACCAAGCGAAATCCCCATCTTTGTCTAATTCTGGGCTGCCACTAGCTCCTGGGTTGACACCTTTGTGCACGCTATGCAAGGTTATGCAGATTTTTGTGCACCAGTGTGCGAATTCCTGAAGCTAATGGGGATTTTCCCAAAGAGCAGTGCCAGGTGCTCATGAACAAAGGATTCACTAGCAAATGAGATTCGAAAATAAGTGCATATTGTATGGTGCCTATTAAGATATTAAAAGCTCTGAAAAGCTCTTTGGTGAGAAATGCATTCATTCACCTTAACCCAGAGCTTCTGAAACCTGTCTAGTCTTGGAGCTATTTCTCCCCTGCACCCCCCCCCCCACACCACATGATGTTACTAACTCTACCAGATCTGTGTCTCTCAGACTTGCTCTGGAAAGGGTCAGCCAGGTTTTTTACAGTTAAGGTGATGACAAAGGAACAGAGATGAGAGGCCATTTGTCTCTGTACAAAGAAACAGAAATTGCTATGCCTCCTCCATGCGCCTCTGTCCTCAGGAGGAGCAGCTCCTGTGAGAGGCTCCCTGTTCAGCTCTGCCCTCGGGGCTACACAGAACCACTCCAGCGCTCCTCAAACCCAGGCCTGTGGGCAATGGTGCTGAGAACGGTCAAATTTTCAGAGATCTTGGGAGTGAATCGTTAAATTATCAGTAGCTTGAAGTTGGCTATGGTGGGCATGTTTACACCCACAAACTCTCCAAAGCAGGTTCTGTCCGAAGGGCTTCTCCCCCTCCCCAAGGCTGAAATTGTGAGCATGTCGGCAGGAGGCACCACTGATTCTGAGACAATTTTTAAAATTGTTAGAAAACTTGAAGGGGCCATGACAGCGGGGTGACCAGATATCAATCCATCATCAGAGTCTCCAACCCTCCTGATGAGAGCTGAGAACTGCACGAATAATAGTCTGTAGCAACAATCCCAAATAAACAGAAGTGTCTCTAGGCTGCTTACCTTGATGTCAGTCACTAGCCAGTGTCTCCAGAATCGGTATTTGGGAGAAGACCTGCTAGGGGCATCTGGATCCACCATCACCAGAATGTAGCTTGCACCCTGTAACACATTTATCCAAAAGAAATGTAGCATTATGGCTGGAATTTAGATAGGAAAACTACATAAGGCACAAAAAATCCTTTAACCTCATTCTTGCCAGAGGTGGCTGGCCAGCCCCTACATATGGCTCCCTACCCAGTTCATCAGCACATCCTATTGAATGTTCTCATGACTTTCCTCTCTTATCACGTCTTTAATCTCAGAGAAATGAAGTATTTTAAGTCATCAGCTTAATAGCTTGGCTTCCCCTTTATAAAGGAAAAATAAGCCAAACCAGCATATTTACAATGCACCTGGAAGTCCCTAGCAGGCTGGACTTTTGCTCTGTAGAAGCTCAGGTATAGTGGAGTGAGTTATCCATCAGTTCAATAAACACAGGAGAGCTAACTCTGTCAAGAACTGTACCAATTGCACAGAATATTGGGATCTTGTCTTCCCTTAAACTGGCATTCACTGAATATCTACTTTGTTCTCAGTGCTGGGAATCTAATAGAGAAAAAGACAGTGTGAGCCATACTTTCGGGAAGCTTCCATGCTAGGTAAGAGACACGATAATAAGGAGAAGTCACATTGTGATTAATCTATGATTAACATAAAATAGGGTGGGGCGAGCAGGTGTAAGCATTCCAAGAAGAGAAAGCAGCCGCTACACAAAGGTCTTTAGGTGGGATGATATTAGAGTTTGAGGAGCCTACAGCCTGTTATGCGGTTGAGGGCCAAGTGAAGGAGAGAGAGGCAGGGTTGGAGACGTGGGTGGGACAGGCTCACAGGAGATTTTTAGGCCTGGGTGAGGAGTGGGGTTTTATCCTAAGAGTAGTACAGAACCCCTGGAAGAAGAAAGGCAAGAGGCTACCGCAGTAGAGGAATAGTGGAGGATGGTGGCATCTTGGACCAGAAAGTAGTGATGGACAAAGAAACAAGTAGATGGATTAGGAAAATATTTAAAGATAGGACCAATGGGACTTGTGGACTAGAGAGAGTGGGCCAAAAAGTTAGGAGGAAGGAAGATCAGGGAGTCTGGCATGAGGGCACCAAGAGGAAAGGAAGGAAAGAAGATGGGGTCAGATTAATAGAGTCTTCAAGGGAAAGGACCACAAATGTGTTGGCTTTGACAACAGAGGGAATCACCAGCAACCTCCTTAGAGAGAAAAAAATTTTATCACTGAAAGTTAAACTCCAAAAGAAATAATGAAGTTAGACACATATTAGACACTAGAAGAAATTAAATCAAAAAATTTAAAGATAAACCTAAGGAAATTTCCAAGCACTCAGAAAAAAAGTGATGGAAACATTGGGGAGAAATAGGTTCATATCCTAAAAAGGTCTCTGTGTATACACATGTCTGCGTGCATATGTGCAATCCCAATAAAATCTCAGAAAAAACTCTTAACACATCTAAGAATTGGTTCTATAACTAGTTAAGAAAATGAAAGAAACTATAACTACTGGAAATGGAGAAATAAAACTATCTATCCTTTCTCTGTCTTTTCATTAATTCTTTTTTGCAAATGACATGATTGCCTACATGTGAAATCCAAATGAATCAGTTGGAAACAACTAGTCAGTGAGAAAGTGAGTTGTTACAAAGTGCACACAAAATCAAATGACTTCCTACAGATTAATAGTCCCATATGTAATTGTAACTTAAAGTAGCAAATATCAGTGAATAAACTTAATGAGAAATGTAAGACTTGTATAAAAAAAATTACTGATCTACATAAAAAGAAAACTCAAATAAGATGGGTGTTTTTGGAACTTCATGGTATGATTTTAAAACTCAGAATAAAGCAAGAAAATTAGCCAAGTCAATACTGATAAAGATAAACGAGAGGGATAGTTTTGATTTTATAGATATTGACATATAAAACGACAATAATTAGAATATGTGGTCTTGATTTAAGAATAACTAAGGAAAGGAAACAAAATAGAAAAACTAGAATGAAACCAATATTCCTAATATGGGTGTTATTTACTATGTGGTAAAAGTATCATTAAATATATGATTTTTAATGTATGTTAGTTACTTCAAATTAGAGGAGAAATGATAGATTAACTTTATCAGTGTTATTAACAACTGACTCACCACATAGAATAAATTTCAATCACTATTTCTTTCATACATCAAAAATACATATTCAAATGTGAAAAATTTTAAAAGAACTTTAAAAGTTCATTTAATAATGTTATAGTAAATTTACATATCAGAATACTCTGTTAGAGTGAAAGCTTTATGTTTTAATATAGGAAAATATCCACAAGCAAGTTGCAGAATAGCATATGATATCATTTAAAATGTGCAGTAAAGCTTTATATATCTAACTATATATATATTTATAGACATATTTGCATATGCATAGAAAATGTCTGGAAAAGTACTTACCAAACTGTTAACAGTAAATGGCATGAAGGAAAAGATTGATATATTTAACTAGGTTTAATTTTGAATCTCTTACATGACCAAAAAGAAAAGCAAAATAAAATTGAAAGACTCTAAGCTGGGAGCAAATATTTACAAGATCTATAACAAAGAATTAATATCCATAATATGTAAAGTGCTTTTTAAATCAATAAGTTAAAGAGTAATAATCCAGTGGAAAAATAGACAAATGATACAAATGGATATGCATAAACTACAAAACACAAATCATCAATAAACATGAACAAACGTTCAATTTCACTAATAACTGAATATATATTAAATAAGTATAAAATCCCACTTTTGCCTATAAAGTTGACATATATATATATTTTGTGGTTAGCCCCAGAATTTTTAAGGTATATAGAAACAGTGGGTAAGTTATATAATATATGTATCTCATTTTCTTTGAACTGAAGAAGACCCAAATCTTATACATATCTATAACCCTTATTGGAAAGGCGACTAGGAAAATGGAACTGAAATGTTGACTGATTTTCTCTAAATGATAGGATAACTTTGAATTCTTTCCTTCGTTGTGCCTTCCTGCATTCTCCAAAGTTTCTGCATTAAATGCATTGCTTTTATATTTGGGAAAAAACTGTACTTAAACAAAACAATCCACTGTCAGACTCCCCAGAACTCTTATTCCCCTGGTCAAACAATACCCAGGGGAATTCCTCTAGGTTGTGAGTGGCCTTATCACTGTCCCTCCCTGACCCTGATTGTAACTAGACTTTGTGGGTGAGTGCTTGGTGTACAGTATTCTCTGAGGTGATTACATCATGAGGTTTCCCTTATTGCCCCTCCCACTAAGCAACCCCGTGCCTCTTCCAAAATCCGGCAGGAAAGAAAGGCACCTTCTCTCCCCGTGCAGTCTGGGAGCTGGTTCCTGGTCCTTTCAAAGACTCTGATTGCCAGCAGAACTTCCCTCTTAAATATTTGCCAGAGGTGGGAGGAAGTTTTCACCAGATTAACTGAGAAAACAGAGCACAGGGACTTTGGCGAACAACCAGCACAGGCCCCCAGTTACCACATCGTCACATCTCCAGCAATCGCTCTAACTCAACAGTTACCTCCTGAAACTTGTCATTCCTTCACACTGCTCCTCCTACCAAATCACTGATTTTGGTCCCAGCCTCCTTTCTACCCAGCTATTTCTTCAACCATGCCTACCAGGACTAGCTTTTGACCTCAAGAGGACCTCTGGAGCCAGGGATGACTGACTTTTCTCTCAGCACCCTCCTTCTTCATTAGAGTCCCAAACTGCCAGAATCTAAATTCCTTTGTCCCTCTATCATTTAAACATAAATCCCTGAACAAAACCCCAAACTTGGGTAAACCTAACTTTCCTTTACTTATTTGTGACCTTAGAATCCAGGAGAGAGCCATACCCCAGAGAAGAGTGGCTTCCCCACACAGACCTGGTCTCCAGGCACATTATAGGCTCTGATGCTGCTCTGCATTCATCTTGATCTCCCGCTTTCAGTAATGGTTTCCCAAGATTTCAAACTGTCTTCAATAGTGAAACCTCCACTACCCATCTATTTTCTTTTGGCAGACAACTTTCTCAGTGATAACTGCTCCCAGAAAACTGAAGCCATCATATGACAAGTTCTTCAAGATCTGTCTCAAAACCTGCAAACATCAGAAGCTACAATACTTTTGTCTTTAAAATATGTCTTCCTACGTGGAATCAACCCAAATGCCCAAAAGTAGATGACTGGATTAAAAAGATGTGGTACGTATACACAATGGAATATTACTCAGCAATCAAAAAAGATAAACTCATGCCTTTTGCAGCAACATGAATGGAGCTGAAAGGGATCATGCTGAGTGAAATATGCCAGAAAGAGAAAGAAAAATACTGGATGGTTTTACTCATAGCAGGAGCATAAAGAACTGGGGAGGTGGGGAATAATAGACCAGAGACATTTTACAGGGGTCCAGTGGGGGATGGGATCAAAAACGGTGGGGGGAGAAAAGTGCACTGGACTATGGTGAGGGCACACAGGTGATATGGTGATGGGAAGCCCACAGGGACTACAACTGAGATGGAAAAAGGCACAAAATGATGTAAAAATAAACTATTATATTATTAATTTTTAAAAATATGTCTTCCTTGGCTCCACAGCCCCCTAGCCATTCACCTGCCCCTGCTGCCTCTCCATTCCAAGAGTGGTGGTTCCTGTAGGCCTGTGCAACCCTCCGTGGTAGAGATTGAGAGGGCAGGGCATCTTCCCAACACAGAGGCGCCCTCTAGAGTCTCTGAGGTCCTCTATTTTCCCTTGTTTGGGGTAACTTTGTATGTATCTACTCCAGAGAGGAAAGTGGTGTTTCTTTGAATAGAATATAACAGACAGTAGAGAGTCATAGAAGTTCTGAGAAGGTGAGGTGTGAATTAATCATGTCTTGTTTTCTATATTTTCTTCAGCTTTGACATCTGGGGTCTTGCTGACTCCAGAGAGGCTGCTCCTCCCAGGATCAGTCAGTTCCTGGTGATGGTGCACATTTCTTGAGAATGGACTCTTCAAGTGCGCACCTACCTACCAATCTAGAGCCTACCCCCTCTTCAGCAATTTAG